GAACGTGGCAGCCGTCGTCCGATTCCGCCTAATATCGGGCCTTGCCTTCTTCGTCCAGGTTTAATCGGGTTTATGCACGCGGAAGCGTATTTTCCGGCCCTGCAGGAGCCGAGGCGGTGAAGGAACGCGGCCCCGAGCTGCTGCGGGCGGGATATTTGGCGGTCCTTCGACGTACCACGAAGAAGGAGGGAACCCTTCCGCCTGTCACGGAGGCGTGCGTGTATTCTCTCGTCGCTTAGAAACTTCCAAGTTCTGTTGCAATCCCATTCCTTGCGATACGCCACGTGGCTCCGGTGCAAGTGAAAGCGGAATACAGGCTCGGAGCTTCGCACGCGGCTTTCCCTCCTAACCTCACTGTTAACGTTTACCATCGCGTGCAGCCTGGCTGCCAGTTCTGCTCCTTCCTTCCTTCAGGCCGTGACCTTCCCCAGATCACCTGATCTCTGCAGCTCATTTGCCCTTTCTGTGAAACAAGGACAATATACGCCGCTGGAAAACATTCTGGAATTGAAAGACGAAATATTTTGGAACCAGTACACCGCATTATTGCCGTCGACCGAAATCGTTTCTTTCCCGGCTCAGCGGTTGCCTAATCCTGTTAGTCACACCCGGAGGCCTCCCCCTTCTTTAGCAGCTTTAATCCCCGCAGTGTTTTTTGACCGGAGTGATCTTTGGTCCTGTGTCAGAACATACAGACCTCCGCGGTGTGCTGTCAGCGCTTCGTTTGGGGCCGGCTATTGTCTTTTAAGGGTTCCCGTCACCCGTGGGGACAGAGCTTGTGTCACATCGAGCGAGATCCTGGGCAGAGCGTGCCCCCTCCCCGCGAATTGGTAGAAACGGGTCTATTTTAGGTCGAGGCTTAGCTGCAAAAATCACCATGTTACGGATGCCCCCACACCACGTACATGCGCCCCCAAAAACCTACCTACCACCTGCTCCAGGCAGGGACAAGGCATGGGGGCAGAGAGGGGCGTCGGCAGGGGATGGGGGAGAGAGAGGGTCCGCAGCAGGCGAGGGGAGACGTAGAGGCGGC